CCCTATATTCTCTCTTTAGTGAACTTCCACCCATCTATGATCATGTAAAGTCAACTTAAGACAAGGACATGCTTATTGTCAACTCAAATTAACTTAGATCATGTGATTAATTTCAAGTACAATGGAACCATTGGCAAAGTTAAACTCATCATATAACCTCCTTGTATATCCACTCAATATAAAAGAAGATTACGGTGTTACCCTTATCTCACATAATTCACAATAATCAAATTTTATTTGAAAAATTTTGACCGAAGATTTATTTTACAAAATTGATCAGTTCACAGCACAATCAGAAAAAAAAACACAGCGAAAAAAATCACACACACTTCAATTACATAGTGGACATAACTCACCAGCATTCCTTTCTCAATTTCATGCAAATTTGATACACAAATGAAATTGAATTTTGGTCCATGTGCCGTGGCAGATAGTTAGTGCGTCGCGGCATGTGGCACAAAGCCACATGCTCGCCTTGTCTGTGTCGTGTACTGCGGCATGTGCCTTCATGCACCACGGTGCGCCTATTTGGATTTTTGCTCTCATTTTGACAGCAAAAATGATAAATTTTTTACGTGTGCCAATTTCTCATATGACCTTTGATCGAAGTGATTCAAGTGCCCCCACAAAGCTTAGCTTGTATACTAACTAATGAGATAAATTTAGACACAATCTAACGATCCGATCAAAATTTAGATACCCGAGTATAAAAAATCACTTTTTTAAAAAAAATTTTGCATACCCACGTGTTCAAATCAATTCCTTTCTCTCATTAGACCACACTAGACCTTAAACCAAGTATAAAAGGATCTAATACACTTGATTGACCATAATTAATCACAATCGTGCTCATACATTGACATATGACCCTTCTATGGTCAATTTTCACAATTCACTAACTTAACATACTATGCCATTTCTTAGCATAACTTAGCTTACTTGGCTATTTCTCAACTCATACATATACAATCATATTCACCATATAATCTTAACCCCTAAATTACTCATTTCATCATAATTTGTCTCTTGGCTTAAGATTCACCAACACAAACAACCATTACACACATATACTTCAAGTTATAGCCCTTTTTTGTTTCATTTCATCAAATATACAATCAATCGGGCTAAACTTCACAAAAGCTCAATTCAATATATGCATGCAACTCTATGGCAACTTATGGACACTTATATATACAATCTTTCAGTTCAGTTCATTACACAACCTCAAAGTACACGGCTTCACAACCCAAGCTAGTCTAAACTCTCTTCCCTTGACCTGATTACTTCTTGATCCTATAAATATATTACCAAAGGGGTGAGATAAAAATCTCAATAACAAAATAACTTACTTTTATTAACTATCACATGTAATAATATGAAAGTAAACATAATATACCATAAAAATCTCATTAAATGGTATTTTCATCACATATCACATTTCATTTTTTATCTTTTCATCAATCCCAAAGGATTCCGTGTTGTCTTAAGATATTTCATCATATCACATAAAATACTAGCATGATTTCTACCAACCAAACCTCAAAATCACACCGACATGAAACCATAGGCTCATCTCAGACTAATGTACACTCTCATTAGTCTTGAGCTCACCTGTAGTGATAGAATCACTCGGCCAAAGATGTTCTAACGCACAATACGGATGGTGGTTTTCCCCCAATACACATAGTGGGCCATCGTTGACTCCAACCCATATCACAAAGATACTGAGGAGTCTCTCATCTCTAATGCAATATTTTAATAGGCACTCAGGAGATCTTCTCTAATACTGTACCTTTCAAGGTATTAAGGAGAATTGTTTCCAACACTGTATCCTAATAGGGTACTAAGAAAACCTTACTATATGGCCTTTATCACCTCCTATACTCGAGCAAACTCCTACTACTCAGAGCATACTTTCTTGAATCATTTAAGGTTCCCTTTTCACAATTTAACACTTTCTTATACAATATATGATGTTTTTCATTACAAAACACATTTCTATGCTTATTTCAATCAAAAACCATTTCACACACAACAATCACTCAATGCTATAAAACATGCTCAATTCGAAATCATTTTATACATTACATAACATACTAACATATAGTTAAAATAAATAGTTAAATAAAGGAAGTTATTTGATTACCTTAACCTTTTTATTACTAGAAAGGTTATCCGTGGATTTTCACTATCATACAAGCTTATCTCAAGCTTCCTTTCTCTAGTCACTCACCTAATATGCCAACTTGAATACGTTTGGCACATTTTAGTCATTTGATCCATTTTAACCAAAAACTCATTTTTACTATTTAGGGCAATATTCATCCATAAACTCTTTTCCATTTATCCATTCTAAGGCCATAACTATTTAATTACTACTTTACATTACCTTGATCGGTCTTATTTCACTCAAGATAGATTTTTGCCCTAACTTTCTCTCTCTAAAGGCTAAAATTGAGCCTCCGGGTTTAAAGTTCTACCGTTTAGCTGTAAACTAATCACAAAGCTTTAGTTTAACTTACGAGAACCTTTTTATTACTATTGAACAAGAATCAAACCCCTTAAATTTCACCGATTTAATTTTCCTATAACTCATTTTTAGAAAAATTTGTGTAGAATGGAAGGTAAGAGTTATACATAGCTTACCTGGCAAGCTACCAATCTGTATCACCTTCCATCATTCCAAAATAACTTAACCTAGCTCCTCAACCTTTCTCCTCTCTCTATCTCATGTGTTTCTCAAATTCTCTTCTCTGAAATTTCTAAAAATTCACGACTTATAAAAGGCAAATTCTAGTGTATGCGCCACGGCGTATGCAGCACAAGCCGTGGCGTGTGACACAGTGAGATTTATTATCACCACGCGCACTTGCTTCGACCTAAAACGTACTCTTATCACCCATATCTATTCATATAACACACAACCAAGTCAAAATACTAATTAACCATCTCAATCTCTATTCCCACTTTAATTTCCACTTCATCTTCAATTAACCTCTAAATTTAGGATTAAGAAATTTAGGATGTTACACATCACATGTTCAAACTCAAGCTTATGAAGACATACACATATAATCATATATCCCATGTTGCCACAATAATAATTCCGTCCAACAAGTTATCGTGCTTACTCATTATAACATATCAACTTATATAATGCAAATACTATCATATACAAAAATTCAACTTCTAATTACCTTAACTCTTAGACTACCATCCCAAGAGTATAATTTAGATTTTTAAGGGAGCTTTTCAACAACTCGAAATCATTTAAGAGTAGTCAATCTATAGATTGGATTAATAATGATCATTAATAACTAATCTTTATTAATTAACCCTTAATTATGATTGAGGTCTTAATCCCTCATTAAGTGAGATTAACTAAAATCAACCACATTTCTCACTTCTATTAACTTAGTTAACCCTCATTAAGCTTGATAAACACTATTAATTAACTTCATTAGCTTAATCTAATTTATTAAGCATTAGGGTTAAGAATAAACTCACTGTTAATGAAACTAATTATTGCTATTAACATGAACTAAAGATTACAAGCTTAAAACAACACCCTTAAACTCCATTAGAGTCATTAGAATGAGCAAAACTCATCTTCAGGTTTGAGTACCATCTCATACCCCCAAAAACCCACAAGAAAATGCATGAAGGAGAGAGTGGAAGGGAAGAGGAGGCTTAACCAGAGGTTTAGTAGCCCCAAACAAGTCTTCCTTAACCGAAAATGCAAACCTTAGTGGAGTGTAGGTACTCCTCTCTTAGATACTCACTCAAACTCTCCCTTTTGTTCTATCCATTGCGTGTTTTTAGAGATTTAAAATTTCATGCTACTGTGGAACAAATAACCTAGAACGAAAACCCTCACCTAAGCACATCAATTTAGACCTCAAATGGTCCAACAGCTCCCTAGACCTTATTCTAAACTTAACATAGGGTCCAATGGACCCAAATGACCATCTAAATTCCTTAAATTAAATTTCAATTACCTTAGCTAATTAATCAAACCCCTTAATTAATTTAATTAATTTTTGGGATGCTACAAAATACATGTTTCCAAATGTACCTGTCATTCAATATTAGAAAAGAGTAAAATGACACTTAAAATTATTGCAATAAAAAATCATTACCGTTGACAAGGGCATTCCATGAAAAGAAAAAATAACCTTAAACATGATTAACAGAAATAACTAAGCATTTTATTATTTCAGGAAAAAAAATTTCAATCTCAGACATAATTAGGAGAAATAACCATTTGTCTTAAACCTTGTCAAACTATTATTACTTCATCTAGTTTTTATTATAAGATACATTTTAAAACCATTTTTTTATCCTTAATATAGGATACACCATGGGATATTAATTATTTTTTTAATATTACTCCTGTTTAAACTCATCAACTATGAAAGAGAATAAAATGGAAATGTGAAAATTTTCATTTAAATAAAAATAAAATTAAAAATTTATTCTATTTTTAAACAAAATTAATAACTTAGCATTATTTTTTTAGTTTCAGTAAGGTAGTTAGGACGTTTTATAATAGAGATTAAGGAGAGTATTTTCTTATTACACATTGGAGTATATGAGACTGAAGGGAGTACTCCTGAGAGGGGAAAAAAAAAAGCTTAGAAGAAAGAACCTTTATTATAAACTAAAGAATAATATTATTTTCCATCCAATCCAAAATATAAGTATTTTCTCTTAACTAATTTTAATTTAACATATAAACAATTTAATACATATAAAAAAATTTATTTTTTCCATTGTATTTGTTATCTTAAATATTTATATAAATATATTTTTTACTCATTATAAAGCACATTAATAATTAAAATTAAATGTAAAAAAATAATATATAATTTCACGATAATGACAAATTTTTTAACATGCAATTTTTTATGAGCAAAACCGTGTATACTTTGAAAGAGAGAGAGAGAAGAACTAAGCCTCATCAAATCACATGTCATCCAAGCATAGAAGCGTGGGCAAGGTTATGAAAAGGAAATGCATTGGTTTAGGTGCAGAGTGCAGTGACAGCTTTGAAACACGGCAGCATTGGTGTGATCTCTGAGGCACTTTTCTCAAATTTTGCAAACTTGATCAGACCCACATTATCCCTTACAACTATGTTGTGCTTACCCTCACTTATCCCAACCCACTTTTCACAACCAAAATTTAGGACCATTTCCCAAACTATGTAACAAGTACTAAAGATTCAACACTTTTACACAATGGTGACACCTACCAACCAAACACACTCTTACATTTCCCATCAACAACATTAATCAAACAAAACTAGAAAAAGAAACCCTCCATTCTCTTCTAACACTTCTCTTCTTTGTTTTCATTTCCTTTCACCAAAAACTTCTTGGCTTCTTCGTCTTTCTCTTTATTCATATCTTTAGCTTTAGGCTCGAGCCCATTGTACGTACTTATCTCGATGTGAGTAAGCTTTTCTGCCCTCAATGCCTCAGCTTCCCAATCTGTGCGTGCCAGGACAACATACAAGATTGACACTGCACATGCCACTTGGGCAGACAAAAGCCCAATCCAGAGCCCACTAAACCCAATATTGAACCAAAAGGCTAGGCCCACAGCCACAGGGGTACCCACAAAGTAGAATGAGCCAAGGTTGATGTGGGCTCCAATGACAGGCCGGGCAGTACCACGAAGAATGCCACAGCCCGTGGTTTGCGGGCAATTCCCAAGCTCACACAAGCCCATGATGGGCATAACTGAGGCGACCAAGGCTTTGACAAACTCATCCTTAGTGAAAAACCCGGCCCAAATCTTCCTAAGAATCACAGTCCACGTCACATTTATAAAGCCCATCACAAATGCACATCCCAAGGCAACCATGGCTGCAAGCTTGGCCTTGTAGGGCTTGCCAGCTCCAAGCTCATTCCCCACCTGCAATGAATGCAAAATCAAGCTGTAATTTACTTTTTTCATGATAAAAATGAAAATATGATATCAAGTAGATCGATGGGGCCCATGGGCCCAGCGGGCTGCTTTATCAATACAATGAATAAAAGATTGGGCAACCTGATGGGCCTAGGCATAATGCGAAAGTGATCAATTTGTGGTACTTCTGTGGAGTCACATTACAAGTGTGACCAAGTGGGTCCATATACTCAACGAAATCATGTAACAAACTCACACCTCAGCAACTAGAGACCAAAATGAGTTTGGCATTTTAGCCCCCAAAAAAAGGTCGAAAAAGATAAAAATCAAGTTTTTGGGCATAAATAGAGCTTATAAATTTCCATACGTAACATTACATCTAAATCAAACCTATCAGAACAATTACAAAGAGACATGTTCACTTATCCAACACAATGAGATTTGTTAAGCCACAATTAGCTTACCACAAAATCACCAGTCACTCTCAAGTTTCTATCCTATTGATGGTTTTAGTTCTGTGATCAAGAGTTTTGAAAAGCATGTCACGGGTCACCAAAAAGACAAAATTACATTTTAAGAACCAGTTCAAAAAAATCTTCCAAAATATAACCCTTTTATTTCTTTCAAGTTTTAAATTCTAATAATCAGAGTCACTTCCTTCAACCTAATCTCTTAAACTTGAGTATCTAACACAATAAGACTACAGCAAAATTTAACGTGATACCAAAAGACTCGACTTAATCCCACTAAAGCATTCTCCAATCATATATACAGAGTGGATGTGGATCTAATCAACAAGTACAGAAGACAGACAAGTTGCAACACGTACATTGAATATTTTTCGACTGATTGCATATAATATACTCCTTCCGTCTTAAATTATAAGACACTTTTGAAAAAAAAATTTTCATCCCAAAATATAAAACACTTTGAGTCGATTAAAATTTTATTAAATACATCAATTACAATATTACCCTTTCTCTTTTTGTAATTAATTTCCATCATTTCTCTTATCAATATATTAAATGATGAGTATTTTAAAAAATTTATATTTTTGTTTTGAAAAAATAAGATTGTTAAGTGTATTTAATAAGATTTATTGATATGTGAAATTTTATTTAAAAGTGTTTAGTAATTTGGAACGGAGGGAGTATAAATTTAAAAAGAAAAAAGTAAGGCAGGCACATTCTCTTGTGCATGAATGCTATACCCATTTTGCACAAATTGATCACTTTTCCAATCATTTAATTTCCATTCCATGCTCTCAGTGCATGAATGAACAAACAAATTTCCTCTCAATCTTACCGTCTGTTCGATACTATTAAGCCAAATTCGACCATTGTGAGATATAAACTCTCATCATAATTTTTTTCTAGTAAACCATCCAGCTCATAGCCAATGGCTTCGACTAGTACGGATCAAGACCCTTTCAAGTGGAGGCTTTAACATTAAACGTTGCTGCATTCCTGAGATTTGAAACCAAAACTTCTAGTTAATCCGTACAGATCCATTTCAAGTGAACCAAATGTTTGGTGGTTTATATTTTTTTTTTCTTTTTAAGAGGAAGTTTAAACTCTCGATTTTTTTTTTTATATTATTGTTACATATATTGCAATCGGGTTGAACACTAAACATAAGCCACCCCTTCTCATGAGAATTTAAATCTTAGTTATTTTTTCATGTTGCGAGGAACTAAGTCTTTGCCAAAGAGATATGGAGTGACATGATTTATTCATTATTATTTAGGGAGCATGAAGGAAAGAATGATAAGAAATGATAACAATATTGGGAAAGTAAGAGATTACCCTGGCGGAGACGCAGCCCGCGAGAGCCATGGGAACAGTGTACATCATGCTGGTGGTCTGAATCAATATTCCGGTGGCCGCCACGGCCACAGTCGGATTCTGCAGGTAGCCGGCCATGACCGTCACGATCTCGTACCACCACCACTCCAGGCATATCCCCAGACAGCTCGGCACCGCTACCTTCATCAGCTTCCACCACCCTTCCTCCACCACTTCCCAACCCCACACCCACCTCATCCCCCTCTCGTTCCTCCGCCACAACAACACGTACGCCGTCATCAGAACCACCATGTTCAGATTCGTTACCACCGACGCCGTCGCCACCCCCGCCACGCCCCGCCGTACCAGCCAGAAATTCAACGGCACGTGGAATATCACAGCGATCAGAGAGCAGAACATCATCGGCTTCGCCACTTGCTGTGACCGGAGATACACTCTTAGCGGTTGCAACAAGGTGTTTGTTAAAAGGTCTGGGAGAGAGTAGAAACAGTAAATCCCTGCCATTGCCGTGATTTCTCTGTCTTGTCCCATGAAATTCATGATGTTCTCGAGGTTTAGCCAGAGCAGGCTTATGGGTATGCTGGCCATGAGGAGGATGAAGACCATGCGTTGAAGAGAGAGAGAGAGGAGGTCCCATTTCTTGCCTCCATAGGCCTGTGAACACACTGGCTCGAGCCCTGAGGCTAGCCCGGCGAGAACAGAGTAGCCTGTGATGTTCGTGAAGCCTATGGATAGGGCTCCTCCGGCGAGCTCTAGCTTCCCCAGTCGACCCAGAAACAGAACCGACACGACCGCTCGAACGAACACTAGCATGTTCATGGCGGTTATGGGTAACACCATACTCCATAGCTCTTTCAGCTCTTCCAGTATCTGATTATAACACAAACATCAATATTAATAAAAAAGAAAACGATACAAGGAAGAAGAACAAGAAGATCACAGTGTAGAGAAACAAAACAGAGCATACCTGAGACATGGATGGGAATTTGTGGGATGAAAAATCTGGGTTTTCATCTTCCATGCTTGGGTTTATTTCAATGACGAAGGAAAGACCAGAGAGTGTTCTGTGAGGGGGAAAAAAGAGTACTGAATCAAACAGTGAAGATGATGAGATAAGAAGAAGAAGAAGAAGAAGAAATAGTGTGACAAGGTTTCTTTCCCCCCGTCCTTTTCTTGCCTTTCCACTAAGCCATAACAATGAACACATATATTGTGATGCTAAAAGACTGACCTTGGCTTCTTTTTCTGCTTCTCCTAGAACTCGCAAGGCAAAAGAAACTCCAAAAGGATTTCCTCAGTGATTTCGAAAGGGAAACGCAGACACTAAAGCAGGTATATATATTTCGTTTTCCCCACAAACACACAAACAATAGATATATGTAAGGGTTACAAGGTAAACTCAAAAGACGAAAATGGCAGAGAAAAGGCAAAACACAGAAGAGGAGAAAAAAAAATAAACTTGGGGTAGTGGCGGCGTGGGAAGAGGCTGAGAGAAGAGAAAAAGCAAAGTGATTATGTGTGAAGAAGGAAAGGGACGGGAAAAGAGGGAGAGGCAGATGGGTTTAAAACTTTTTCATTATTGTCGCAGCAAAAGAGGTTGTTTTTGAGGAGATAAAAAAAGAAAGCTACAGAGCGAGAGAGAGAAATGAAAAGAGGAAAATCAAATCCACAGCTGGTAAGAGAGAAAGGTCGGTTAAGGTGGATACTGGATTGGTCTTTTTCAAGTATCATGAACGAAACGGTTCTTTCTCATTTAGTTGTGTATGGACTGTGGTTGTGGTTCGCGGACGAACTAGTTGGTTCTTTGATTACTTCTTAGCCGTGGAGGTGAATTCTAGCTTCGTCTTCGTTCAAGTAATGGAGAGAGGAAAGGAGGACACCCCAAAATAAAAAAAAAATTCCCCAAAAGGAGTTCAATGGCCATACAGCTAGCGCCTCATAGAGAGACGCAGAGCGACAGGGTGAGTGTGAGCTTAATGAATGCAGAGCTTAGTGTTAGTTTTGTGGCCTTCCCTACCCAAAAGAACAACAAAGAGAGTTTTATGGCTTTTATAATTTTTTTTAACTGTATGTGACAATCTTATTCTAAATACTATTAGAACTAAATGTAGACACATTTTTCTAACAATAATTTGAACCTTGTTAATCATGAACTAATAAATCAATCTTTTAATCGATCCATTCAAGAGCTTTGAACAAGTTGACTAGATTGAATTTTATATTTGTTTCTCTTGCTAAACTTGAAACGAAAATAAATTAAATATAAAGAAAATAACAATTTGTTAAATTTGTGTTTTAGTAACTATGTTTTGTATATGTATTGTTTATACATGCATGCTCTATTTATTTATGGATTTATGTCTTTTTTTATTTAAATATTATTATTTTCATGTTATATATGAATATTTTTATATTTTTTAATTAAATTATATTATTTTAATCATAGCTACATTAATCTTGATTTAACTGACCATTAAATCATTGTCTTCACAAATTCAATAATCAACCTAATTTTCAATGCTTTAGTTTTAGTTTAGTTTCACTATTGGATCAACATCATCCTTATACTCACTTTGATTTGAATTGACCGGAATACCCTTAAGTGCTTATCAGTACGGTGGATTAAAATTTATTTTAAAAAATTAAAATAAATTTTTTTTCTCATTTACAACTTTTAAATGATAATTTTTTACCAAATCAGCACAGTTTTAAGGTTATCTTTACTTCAAGTTATGTATTAACTAAAAATAAAATAACATCAGATTTAAAGATTTCAATTTTAATTTACTCTTCATTTGAAAATTAGGAGCACACAAACTCGTCCTGATTTTTAGGCATCGGGTTATTTGACAAAAGGAAGAAAAAGGAATCCAATGGTTATCAACTTATCATTCATTGTTTCTTTCTTTCTTTCTTTCTTGTTGGTTCAATGTATGAACGACAACCATGATGCCACTGTAAGGAGTGTACTTGGAATCAATCAGTAGCATTCAACATGTTTGATTCAGATATCAAAACAATGATTTTTTTTTTTAATTCCCCAATTTAAACTCTTATTTCGAAACTTTTTATCATCACTGCATTCTAGTGCCTATTTGCTTTAAACATGCATGCATGTATATATATTTTTAGTTATACACGGTAAAAATAATATAAAAATATAAATAAGAAAGTTATCGCAAAAATATGCCCACTCTATGAAAGGCGAATTAATTACTAATAATGTAAAATCGATATATCCGTTGTCCTTTTTATATTGTAGGTTGATATTGATGATTTATAACGGATAGTAATATTTACCATTGTTTTCTCTTTCTAGTCTTTTTTAAATAAAGCATTTACATTCACAAAACTAATAAAATATTTTTAATTAATTAACTTTATTTTAAAGTAAAAAAATACTAATTCTTGTATATGTAGCAGTTTACTTAGAAGCTGTCTCTCATCTATTCTCAATACATAGGAGAAATATTCTTTATCATTGGTAGAATATACTTCTTATACTAGAAAAAAGCGATGCTTTAGTGAGAGACAAGGCCAAATGGAAAAAGAACAACAAACATTAATGGGGAGAATTAATTAGGGGTCAATGACATTAAAAGATCAAAGGATTGAATTTACACTTGAATAAGGAACAAAACATATTTGAAAATAAAAAATAAGGATTAAAGAATTTTCTGTGAATTGGCATAAAAATTTGTTACTCTCATTTTATGATTTGTAATTATTAAAACAAAAATTTACAAGTAAAATTTGTTAATTTGTAATGGAAAAGCTTGTCAAACATATCATAACTTCGAATAATTTTATACTCTCATATCCTTACTTGCAGCCTTTAAAATATGAAAGTGACAAGTTTGTCCTTCACAAATAAGCAAATCTTACTTGCTAATATTTTGCTTTTGGATTGCAAATCACGAGTGGCAAATTTTAGACCAATTCACTATGATAGTGTTTTGATTGATGCATTTGATTTTGAATTTTAGATTTAAAATTCATGTATTTAAAATTTTTTATTTAGACAATATAAGAAATTTTAAAAGTATGAGAGAAATAAGACGAGAGTTGAAGCAAAAAAGGAAGATTAAGAACAACAAGCTTATTTCTATTTTTCCATTAATAATGAATAATAGGAGAGGCAAAAAATACATAGGCAATGGTAGTAAAAATGTGAAGAAAATGAAAAGGTTAAAGCAATTGAAATTTCAAATAACCATGATCTATAAAGAATTTAAAATTAAAAAAAATTATATAAAAGATGAATTTAGATTTGAATTGAATCATAAACTTTTATATATTCAAATGAAAAATTTGATTCAAATCTAAATTCAAATCCTCACTGATCCAAATACAACCTTAAGAACTCTATTCCTTGCTTTGGGTTTTCAAATTTTTTAGTGCTTATTTAAGTTTAATTCATTTTTTGTCCTTTAATGCCACTCCCTAGTTAATAAACATATTTAATTAATAAATACTGCCCCCAACTAAACATAATTTGTGGTTGCATTGTTAGAAAATATATAATTTTTCATTAATAACATGATTTTCTTTTTTGTTTTTTTTTTAGTTTTAGTGTAATGGGAAAATTCATTATCTCAAAGGAAAAAATTGTACAAATTTCTGAAATAAAACTTAAAAACAAAAACTAAGAAAAATTACAACAAAGACCTATAAGTAAAAAAGCATTTTAAAGTGTGATTAACAATAGCACCAATTTAGGAAAGGACACTATCAAGGACAAAGACTTCATCAATGAAACCAAAGTTTTCAGTAGGTGATACTTAGCCCAACCTTTCAAGAAGTATCCAGCTGAGAATTGTGCAGGCACTCAATAAACTAGGACTGTAAATCCTTACCAAAAAAAATAAGTGCAAATGTTGGTTGGAAGTATTTTTTTTATTCCAGATAGATGTAGCAAAAGGACAATCTCTGAGGGCATGATTAATATTTTCAACATCGGAATTGTATAAAGAGCAATCTTAACCTATGATCATGTTTCTTCTATATCATTCTAAATTAGTAAGAAGTTTACCCTTAAGCATTAACCAAGCAAAAGCATGGATCTTCTAAGCCATTGGTAGCTTCCACACTCAAACCAGGGCCCATCAATTGGATTGCAATCATTGAGTTAAATTGCAGTACAAGCTGATTTGATAGTGAATTTTCCATTGTTAGTAAAATTCCAAGAGCATGAAGGAGGTTTTGCGTCAGTTAATTTGACAAAGGTTCTAGCAATTTGAATAAGAATATTGCATGGCGATAAATGTTCAAAAAGACTCCATCTCTACTAACTCTGAGCATCAATAAATTGATTAGCTTGATAAGATCATCTTTTTTAATCTAAGAAAAAGAGAGAAATCTCAAGGGTCCAGAATCCCCTACCCAATAGTCTGACCAAAACTTGATTTTTTGTTGCCCGAATTCCATTTGATATGCATCCTAGTGTCTTGCCAAACTTCTAAAATATTCTTCTAGAAATAACAACATTTCTCATTTTATGTCCTGGGTGGAGCATTTGTATTTAAGTACACGCACCTAAACCAAACCAAGTTCTTAAACAAGTTTATAAACTAACTTAGACAAGACAGCTTTGTTTTGGGCTTCTAAATTAATAAGGCCGCAGCCACCATGCTTGATTGACTGATACAGATCCTTTCAATTGATCAAACTAATACCATGATGATCTCAAATTCACCCTAAATAAACATTCGAATGAGCTTCTCAATTGTTCTACAACATCCAAAAGGAAGTGTAGTACTCTGCATAGTATATAAAGGAACAAATTTGGCTAGCATAATGCGGCCAGCTAAGGAAAGGAATGTTGATTTCCATCCAACCAATTCTGATCTTTGGAAACCCAAGCTTTGGCAAATAGTAGCACTATTGGAAAATAGAGACATTTTTAGAAAAATGTATCTAAGTATTAGATCGGCTTATGGTCCACCCAAATGAATGGCAGAAGTCTTGTAACACTCTCTTAACAACTTCAATTTGAGAAGTAGAGGTGTCTCCAAATAAAATCAAATCATCCACACACAAAAATAATTGAGAAAATAGGATGCCCTTTTGCCCCATTTTGATAGTATGCCAATTATGCTTTCCAACTTCAATAGTAATTGCTTGAGACACTCGCTCCATACATAAGACAAACATATATATATATATATATATAGTGATAAAGGGTTTCCTTGTCTAATACCCCTTGTCGAAGAAAATGAAGAGGAGGGTTTCCCATTCCATAAAACTTGCATTGAATGGGTAGCAAGGCAAGGCATTACAAGTTGTATCATGCTAAGAGGGAGGCCAAGATCTTTCTGTGCATCTTCAATGAAGTCCCACATCAATTTGTCAAAAACCTTCTCAAGATCAACTTTAATAGCCATCCAACCCGTATTACTAGTTTTCTTCCTCATACAGTGCATAACTACTTGGGATAGAATGATATTGTCAACAATATTTCTGCCCTGAATGAAACTTGTCTGATATGGCATCACAATGTTGGGTAAAAAAGGTTTGAGACATTTGCTTTTTTTTTTTGCTTTTAATCATGAATGTATGTATTATTTCATTGTCACCCTACACCCTCTGAAAGTGATTGACAAAGTAAGGGGATAATGACATATAAAGTAAAAGGATAATGACATTTAGGTCCCAATAAGATTAATTAATTCAAATGAAGTTCAAAATACTAAATTTTAGAAATTTATAAGTTTGACTTTTAATTTTATGATTTTGTTATGATAAATTTAGAACTTGTATTTCAAATTTTAACATGATTGAAGAATAAATAAATTTATTTTTTCTATTAAAATTTGAAACACAAATTGTAAATTCACCATAAAGAAGTTGTAAAATTAAAAATTGAA